CCTCATATTTTGTGTGGTCATGGTTAAAACACGTCAACATTTTTTATTCATTTTTAATAGAGACAATAAGACAAAAAATAATAGGAATATAAAATGTTGACGTGATTTAACCGTAACCGTACAAATAGAAATGAATAGGAAGGACACCCAAATAAGAGAGCAGACAACCTGCCTCCTAAAAACTTGATTGCAAGACAAACCGTCCAATGACCAGTCAAAAAGGCACTCTCACCCGAATATTCCGTTTCAAAATCTCCTCTTTATCTGGAAAATCCGCAAATACGCGCCGTCTGATCCCCCATCATATCCGATCAACGGCTGGAATTTAACCTTTGACCAAGGTACAATAAAGAAATGGTGTAAGGCTGGAAGGAATGATTTTCTTCTGTCCAAGTTTGACCGCAGAATCAAAATTCCCAAAAAAAAAGTAAAAAAAAAAAAAAAAAAAAAAAAAAACAGCTAACAGACAGAGAGATAAATTCTAGAGAGAGAAGACTACAAAAACAATTGTAGAGAGAGAGGGATAGGGAAGAAAGGGAGCTTGTGGTTTTTTTCTTCCTTTCTTTTCCTTTGATTCTTCTCATTTGGGGGATTTGCAGGGTTTGATTTGAATCAGGGGAGGAGCGAGAGAGAAGGAGGAGAGGAGAGAGAAAGCTTGGCATTTCTCTCTCTTCTTGTTCATTGGGAGGAAATTCAAGTTAGGGTTTTTGGGTTGTTGAATCAGAACAACGAACAAAGATGAATATGATGCGCCGGCTCAAGAGCATTGCTTCGGGACGGACCTCAGTTTCGTCGGACCCTGTAAGTTTGAATTTTTGTGTGTATTTGATTTCTAGTTTTGGTTTGGAGGATTTGAGCTTGTTTCTGGTAGTTTGGAAATGGAGGAAAATAAAGCAATAATGTTGAATGTTTTGACTTATGGCGGTTTGGTTTTGTGATATTTCAAATTTCGATTTCAGAAGCTCGCGTCTGGTAAGATTTAGTCGATGTAGAAAAACATGGTGGAGGATTTGTGTTTGTTTATTTATAATTTGGGAAGTATATGACTTGAAAGTATATATGTGTGTGTGTATGTATGAATGTATTCATTTTCCTAGTATCACACAACTTTTTACTGGGTGTGTAATTATGTGGATTTGAAGGATCATTTGAGTGAAGTTGATTAACATTTGTATTTTATATATTATTAAAAGAGGCTTTTATTTTTCGCCCAAGGGGCGAGTGGATGTTCAATCTTATGCATATAGTTGATCCAAGTTGAAATGGAATTTTAATTGGTTTTCTTTGTTACTTTTGTATATGGCTCGCTGTTCAATGTTGGCTGCTAGTTTTGATTGGCATAGCATTTTCATGATGCATTTCTATTGTAATTCATTGCGAGCGTTGGATTTTGTTTGTGTTACCACAGATAGTAGTGTTTTTTGAAAGAGCATCTTGGGGGATAACTGATGGAACAAATTACTACTTTTGGTTCTTGTATGAGCCATCACATGTAATGCCTACTTTTTGTTTGGATATTAGATAGATACATGTATGTACATATATGTATATAAACTATAAAGTTGGACGAGAATGATTTTCTACCTCATGAATGCCGTGGCTCTTTGGGTTTGCACATCAACGAGTCAAATTGTTATTTTAGACAAGTATATTGGATTTCTTCTTATTTCCAGGACAATGTCCAACTGAAGTATATCACAATGTGTATACTCTATTGATTTCTGAGATGCAATTTAATGTGTTTTGCCTCATATGTACTGCATATGGTTTTGCATGGCTTTTAATGCGCCAAGTTAGCTGTGGGTATTTTTTTTATTTTTTTTTATACCTCTTCTGGAATATAAATCTTCTGTGTGTTATGTTAATGTTTATGTCTTTAGTACTTTCCTAATTTTGTTGTGATGAAACGATCACGTGGTGATCTATGCAATTATGCTAATAGTTAATGACACAACGAAGGCTGAGTGGATTTTTTTTTCCTTCACAATTTGGTAATTTGGATGCGCAGTTCTTTTTTTCCGTTTGAATCTATATTTAGCTAAGTTAAATTTATTTCTTTTTTCATTTTAGGGAATTGATTCTACCACAAAAAGAGCAAAGGTGGATCAAGAAACTGAGAAGAAGGCTAATAAACAGTCAAATACTGTTGAGAGAAGTTCCACTGGTCTAGAGCAGCATATGGCTTCAACGTCACTGGAAACTGCTGCGAGCACATCCAGTGTATCTTCAGTAGGTAAGACCGAGACCAAAGAAGACAAATCTAGTAACGATCAGCTTCCCAAAGAAATGCATGAAATGAAAATTAGAGATGAGAAGGCCAACCACCATGATGACAAGGTATTTTTTTTGTTGGCTGGCGTTGATTTTTTTTTCTGTGATCCTTTTTTCCTCCATATATGTGTCTTTATTAACTCTCATGTGAAAAAGACATGTTTTAAACAAGTGAATATCGGTTACTGGGTAAATTGTGTAAACTTGCCCTGTGCAGGATATGGAAGAAACTATTATAAATGGTAATGGAACAGAAACAGGTCATATAATTGCAACGACAGTAGGTGGTCGAAATGGACAACCTAAACAGGTGTGCTTAGTAATTCTGCATTTCTTATGTTGTCTCCTAGGAAGTCCTCATGTTATTCTTGTTTTTTTTTTTTGAACTTCTTTCTGCATGACCTCATTTTCTGCTGGATTGACTAATTTTTCATTTTTGGTTACAGACTATCTCTTACATGGCAGAGCGTGTAGTTGGCACTGGTTCGTTTGGAGTTGTCTTTCAGGTACTTAGAATTATTTACATATGTTCATTATTTAGGTTTCTTTGGTTCCGTTTTCCACTGATACAGATCTCGACGTCATTTGTTACCTGGCTTACTATAATTTATTGTGCAGGCTAAGTGTCTGGAAACAGGTGAAGCAGTTGCAATAAAAAAGGTGTTGCAGGATAAAAGATATAAAAACAGAGAACTTCAAATTATGCGCTTTCTTGACCATCCTAACGTTGTTCAATTGAAGCACTGTTTCTTTTCAACTACTGACAAGGACGAGCTGTACCTCAATCTTGTCCTCGAGTATATATCTGAAACTGTTTACCGGGTCTCAAAGCATTATATCAGGATGAACCAACATATTCCCATTATTTATGTGCAATTATATACATACCAGGTAATTTTGGAATCCGTCTATTTCCTCCACTTAGTGGGAAAAGGCTTTGTTGTTGTTGTGTCTATTTCCTCCACTGCCTTTTCATTAGTGGGTTGTCAGGTTTTTTTATTCCTATTATGTAATAATAAACTGAATTATTTTCTTTTTTGTAGATTTGTCGCGCATTAAATTACTTGCACCATGTTGTTGGTGTGTGCCATCGTGACATTAAGCCACAAAATTTGCTGGTAAGATTTATTACAGTTTATATCAATTTAATCTTAGTGTTGATCAAGTATGAACAAGAATTAGTTTTCTCATTCATAGCAGTCCGACTTTAATTGATCTGAGATTGTATCTTCAGTCATTGTAATGCTGCTGAGGATGTGCAGGTCAATCCCCACACGCATCAGCTGAAGATATGTGATTTTGGGAGTGCGAAGATGTTGGTATGTTTCGTATTCTGTGAATCTGGAGGTGCTTTGATGATATTTGGAATTCATGAAGGTCTTGGAACTGATGACTTCTTTAATTTCCTCATTTTTAGGTGCCTGGTGAAGCCAACATATCATACATTTGTTCACGCTATTATAGGGCACCAGAACTTATATTTGGGGCTACAGAATATACCACTGCAATTGATATGTGGTCTGTTGGTTGTGTATTTGCTGAGCTTCTTCTTGGAGAGGTACGTGAATAGCACGTCAGATTCTTGTTTAACTTGTATGAGTTTGGTTTGTTTTATTTTTCCAGAATCTCATGACTATTTCTGATATCATTACAGCCACTGTTTCCCGGGGAGAGTGGTGTTGATCAGCTGGTGGAGATTATAAAGGTAGATGTAAACCATTCGTTTCTTGTTATGGTGGTGATATTTGTGCTGTTTTGTGTTCTCATCTTTCTTTTGGGTATTATTCTAGATTCTTGGGACACCAACCAGAGAAGAAATAAAGTGCATGAATCCCAATTACACAGAGTTCAAGTTTCCTCAGATCAAAGCTCACCCGTGGCACAAGGTATGTTCAATATTTTAACTCAGTATTTATGGTCAATTGGATGTATTTGTTCAGCCGAAATCTTATTGTGATTGTTATCTTCAGATATTTCACAAGCGAATGCCCCCAGAAGCAGTGGATCTTGTGTCAAGGCTGCTCCAGTACTCACCAAATCTACGTTGTACTGCTGTAAGAAAATGAACTTACTTTTGATAAATTATGATTAAAGTATGTGATATGGCCAAGTCTAAAGCTAAATTGTTTCCTGGTTTTTAGTTGGAGGCTTGCGCACACCCCTTCTTTGATGATTTGAGAGACCTGAACGTGAGTTTGCCTAATGGACGAGCATTGCCTCCTTTGTTCAATTTCACAGCTCAAGGTAAGATATTTCACCATTCTATGGCCTGGTTTTCGTTGTTGTCGCCTCCAGTCTTTAACTTGATGACGATTGCCCTGCAGAATTGGCTGGAGCACCCACTGAACTCCGACATCGTCTAATCCCTGAGCATGCTAGGAATTGATGCACGAACCTGAGGGGGTCACATAAGTTCACGATGTAAATGCCGTTTTGATTGCTTGGATGCTCAGATGAGCCATGCTGCCTTGCACCCCTAGGGTCTGCTGTCTCTCGATCCTTTCAGTTCAGTAATGAAAGTACGCACTGGAGATGAAGTGGCAGGCTATTCGATCGAATAGATTTTGCGGGTGGAATTTTCAGGTGGATGTTTGTGGGGATTGCTTCGGCTAAGATTCCAAGACCAAATTTTCGCGATGTATGTCGTATACCTTGACTGTGAAAGAAGAGCTTTTACATGTGAATGCTAAATCATGTTGTCACATATAGTGTTTTATGAGTAATGTGGAGAGACTAAATGGGATCATTTAGATGAAATCAGGTTCTCATTGCCTGCTGTTCCACTATTACAGAGATTCAAATCTTTGAGTGGATTTTCCGACTAGCCTTTCTTCATTTGCTTCTCTTTCGGTGGTAGATCTGTATGTTCGTTCTACTAATCTTCGAGCGAAAAACATCATGCTTGAAACACCCTCTGAAACTAAACTCAAGTCTCATTTAACATTATACACCTTCCGTATATTTCCTTCCGAAGAACCTGCGTCTCTGTACGGAGATGACATCGACGTTCGCTAAACTTTGATATTAGGAGCTGCAAGTCACTTTCAAGGTACACGACTCGAACTCCCACAGCAACTGCCAAATAAACACAATCAGTCGTCCGTGAAGCAGCATTTCTCAGATAGACCTACCAAAACGGTTGTTTGTGCTACACATCTTAAAATGGGTTGCAGTGTATCATGGATAGACCTCAGTGAAGATTCACCAGCATAATCTGAAATATCCTACCGAATGTGCATGAACGGTAATGTAAAAGCATGCTTTGAAGTAGTACTAAAAAAGATTCTCAACTATAACCTAAATTACTGAGAACTTGGCTTTCAGCAGATTAAGATGCTTACAGAAAAGTGACATCACAGAGTATGAGAGAAGGGAAAGTTTATATTACCATTTAAGTCGATGTTCATTTGATCGTAACAGGATTGAGGGTGTCGATGGAACCTAACCTTTGAAGTATTGCAAGTGGACCAGCTTTAGAAAGAGCACCAAGAACGAGCCATTTGGAGTTGACAGACGAATCTTCTACCAGTAATCATCACAAGAGCAGTTCCCTTCTTTGAAATGATGAAAACAGTTTGAATCTCTTAATATAATATGCCGAAGATAGACCTTTGATATAAATTTCATTGCAGTATGGCAATCTCCACAAACCCGGAGATTCTTAAAAATTCGGATTGGTGCCCCTGGTGGTGTGGTGAGAAGCCCGAAAGCAACAGCCAACTTCTCACTGTGATACGCTAGGCCAAGCTCTTTTCCCTCTTTATCCATGTCATGAAGCGCAAAATTCATATCTGGCACATATCCAGCTTCCTTGATCAACATCATGATCTCATCAACCTTGAATATATTTCAGCCGTCCTCGAATGGCTTCTATCTTCAGACATAAAGGTATGCACTTGGCTGTTCGTCTCAATCCAGCTGCATCCAGGCTCCTTAAGAATTCCCTTTGATTTCATCAATCTTCGGATTCTTGCAGCATCTTCCCATCTAGAAGCCGCAGAATACATGTTCGATAACTGAACATAAGGCACAGCATTTAGAGGTTCCAATTTGAAAAGGTTTGTTGCTGCCCGCTCTCCAAGTTCTATGTTCCCGTGCACTCTACATGCAGCAAGCAGTGCCTTCCATACAGTTCCATCTGGTTCCACAACCATTTTATTAACTAATGCTTCGGCCTCATTAAGCTTCCCTGAGCGCCCCAAGAGGTCAATCATGCATGCATAGTGCTCCGGACCTGGTTGTATTCCATAAACCCTACTCATCGATTCAAAGTAGTACCGACCTTTTTCCAGAAGACCAGCATGGCTACAAGCAAATATTAAGCCAATAAAGGTAATGAAGTCCGGTTCTGCGCCAGCTAAAATCATTTGATCATAAAACTTTAGGGACTCCTTTCCTCTACCATTCTGGGCATAACCAACTATCAAAGCTGTCCAAGTAATCACATCTTGAACTTGCATAGAGTCGAAAACTCTATTGGCGTCTTCTATGCACCCGCATTTTGCATACATTGCTACAAAGGAATTATCTACTGATAAGGAGGCTTGAAGGCCGGACTTTATAAAGTTTGCATGAATTTGTTGGCCAAATTCCAGAACTGTCAGTTCGGCACAGGCACTCAAAGCGCTGGCAATTACAAACTGGTCGGGATAGATCCCTGCAGTTCTCATCTCACAGAACAATCTAAGTGCTTTTTCATGAGAGCCATTATGTACATAGCCTGTGATCAGGGAGGTCCATGAGATAACATCCTTGTTTGACATACACTTGAACACCTCAACCGCAGCATCTATGTTCCCCTGCTTAGCATACATATCAACGAGAGCATTTCCCACAAGTTGATAAACGTCAAAACCAGTCTTGATTATCAAACAATGGATAGACATTGCATTTTTCATGTCCTTCATCGCAGCAAAGGAGTTTAGAACAGATGGATACGTAAAATGATCAATCTTCATTTCTCTTGAATGCATATCTTTAAACAAGGACAAAGCTTCTTCTGCAAACCCCTGCCTTACACAACCCACAATCATGGAGTTCCAAGAAACAACATCGTCAACCTCCATGCTTCTCAATGCCTTCTTTGCACTATTAAGGTCTCCACATTTGACATACATGTCAACCAAGGAACTTTGGACAAACACATTAGCCCCGAGACCACTCTGAACAACACATCCGTGCACCTGAGCACCGAAACTATGTGCTAAGACTGACGCAGAAGCTGTCAATACACTAGGGAACGTAAAATGATTGGATTCAACCCCTTCTGCTCGCATGTCTCGGAAAAACTTCATTGCCTTAAACCCATCACCATTTTGAGAGTACCCAGTAAGCATGACAGTCCACAAAACGTGGTTTTTCCTATCAGGCAGAGTCACAAAGAGATACTCAGCTTCTGAAATGCGCTTGCACTTTGCATACATGTCCACCAAACCCGTGACAACGAAAATATTATTGTCAAATTGGGTCTTTGTCATATAACCATGAACAAGCGCACCTCTCTGGAGCAAACCCAGTGTTGAACACAACCTCAGAACACTGCCCAACGTGTACTGGCTGGGCTTATGCCCCTCGAACTGCATTCGCCAAAACAACTCGAAAGCTTCACTTTCGCTCTCATTTCGGCAGTACCCAGATATCAATGACGACCATGTGATGGAGTTTTTACTTGGGGTCGCATCAAAGAGTTGTTTTGCTTCAGCGAGTCTTCCTGAGTTGGCATAAGCAGCTATCATAGTGTTCCAAGAAAACTCATCCCTGCTCGGCATTTTATCGAACATCTGGCGGGCCTCATCGACTCGGCCGGATTTAGACAGCTCATTGAGAAGTAAATTGGAGTGAAACTTAGACTCCGTTGAATCCACAGTGCTGCAGAGGAAACGGGTCAGTCCTCTGTGATTGAATCTGGAATGATGGGAATAATTGATAAAAAATGAATTGAATCTGTTCATAACCAGCTTTCGCCTTTCAATGGCCGTGTAGATCATCAAGGTTCGAACTTTACAAATATAGCTGACCTCAACATCATCCAATTGATGAAAGAAATGTCCTTTTGGATTCTATGCAACGAAGGAAGGGATAGAAGAACCCGGAAACAAGTTGATCTGAAATTGGGCCAGAAAAATGGATACAGGCCCATTTGAATATCAAAGCTTGCTTATTAATACAAACTATATTTTATTATTTAAAAAGTAAATTGTAGTAATGATTCATCAACTTTAACCTAATTAGAGTGATGATTCCTCAACTAAGTGACTATTAGTTCTTAACTAATGAAAACGTACAGCTATGGTCCTTTTTGTCAACTCTGTTAGAACTTTCATCAAAATAAATCACGTACCACGCACATGAAGCTAAACCAAGGGCAATAAGGAAAACCAAATGAGAAAAATTGTAGCAATAGTCCCTCAACTTTTTTTGAGTACATCGATATTTTTACACTAAGGGGAGGGGAGTTCGACTAAGTCGCATAATGGATAGCCTAATTTAGTATTCAATTTGCCATATCTTTAATTCAATTAAAGAAATGGTCATTTAATTTTAACCAAATTGGAGTAATAATCTCTCAACTTTAACCCAATTGTAGTAATGAACCTTCTAGCATGACCGATTTTGACGAAATTCTGACGGAGCTGATGAAAAAGACCATATCTGCATAGTTTGATGAATTAAGGAACTATTACTACAATTTTCTCTTTTTCAAATAAACGATATTCCACTTTAAATTAATATAAACCGCATGAAACGACATGGATAACCACATTGGTCATTCCAATGTGTCAACACTAATGTTTACTTTGTATACCACACTTTTAAAAGAAAGAAAATTAAGGTTTTACTTTTGTCCAAAAAGAGAAAACAAGGTTTCAATTGTTTCTTCTTGTCTTGAAAATAACTCGATAGTTCTTTTGTGAAAGAATGGTGTTGTTGACGCGATGAAACGAATCCTTTGTCGTGTTTCTTGACTCACATACGTAAAATTCTTAAATCTTGGACCCCAAAAAAGTAAAATGATTATGCAATACAAAAGTGATAAGCTCATTCCTGATTATGCTTACTCATTTTTTTTTTAGTCGTTTGGACTGAGTATATCCCGTAAACTTTGAGTTTTAACGATAAGGAAAAAATAAAGGGTAAAGTGAATAGTACCAGGTTTGACTTTTTAGTGTAAAAATGTGATTTTTCGTTAAAATGAATAGTACCATAGGTTTTTCGTTAAAACTCCCTTTATTTAATGATAAGGGCCAAAGAATAAAAAAAAAAACATAAAAGAAAGACTTCAAATTTAATACATTTTTTAGTTTTATTTTTGTGGTATTGTTTCCCAATAGTACTTAAGATGACGAGAGATTTTGCAATGTGTCTTTATACAAGTAGTGAGATTCTTGTGTTAAAAAATTAATAACATAAAAATAAAATTTATCACTACTTACATAATAACACGTGCTGTACCACTTGTGGTACAGACATAAGGAAAAATTTCTCCAAGATGACACACAAGCAAAAGAAATTGGATGGAGAGCTACATTTAATTATTGTAGGTATGTAAAAAATATGAGGGAATTTTAATTTGGTAATTGAAAACAACTTTCTAAATATAAATACTGAGGACATAATCTTCTCAAGGTTTTGATCTAAATGATCACTTTTGGGTTCATCGTTTTTGGCGCAATGCGTGTTTTTACAGGATAAAAGAGGGTCTAAGTTTCAAACCTTATGAAACTGAACCAAGAATTAGACACTATTTATAAAACTTAACCAATAAGTAGACAATATTTATGAAACTAGACCAATAAGTAGACACTACTTATGAAACTAGACCAATAAGTAGGTACTATTTCTAAAACTAAACCAATAAGTGGAAACTATTTATGAAACTGGACTATACATTATTTATGAAACTTGATCAAGAAATAGACACTATTTATGCAACACGACCAAAAATTAGGCACTATTTATGAAAGTTGACTAATAACTAGACATTATTTATGAAATTGGACCAAAAAAGAGACACTCTTGATGAAATTGTACCAATTATTATACACTATTTATGAAACTGGACCCAATAACTAGGCATCATTTATGAAACATGGCCAAGAACTAGACACTATCTATGAAATTGGACCCAATAAATAGGCACTATTTATTAAACATGACCAAGAATTAGGCACTATTTATTAAACTAGACTAATAAATAGTGTAGTATTGTTCAATTTCATAAATAGCGTTAAGTTTCATAAATAGTGTTCCGTTTCATAAATAGTGTTTCAGTTTCATAAACAGTGACTGTGATAGAGCCCTAGTTTGGTACTGAGGTGATTATCGAAAAAAATGGCTATCAAAAAAAGCTGGGAGCTTTTTTATGTTTGGTAAACATTCAGCTTCAGCTTTTTTTCACAGTTTTGCGTGAAAAAAAGCCAAAAACACAAAGTTGCAAAACCCAGCTTTGAAAAACCAGTTTTTTTTTTCACATTTGTTTTACATAAAAGTTTATCAAACACTATAATATTGCTTTTTTTTTTTTTTTTCAAAAGCACTTTTACAAAAAAGTTTACCAAACACTCTGCTGCTTTATTTCACAGCTGCTTATTCTCACAACACAGCAAAAATAGTTTTTTTTCAAAGTACAACAATACCAAACTAGCCTAGAGGCACGCACGTCAGGTCCTTTTTTTAATTTTTTAATATTAACATTTTCATTAAAATTTCAGTTTCTTTGTCATTTTTATTAAAATTTAAGGGTTTTTCATTAATATTTAATTCATTTTTATTAAATAAAGTTATAACTTGGTTTTTTGTTAAAATAAACTTAGCCTTTTTTATTAAAGCTCCCAAATCAATGCTTTTTTAATACATACAATATTATTTACACAAAGGAGTAAAGGTAGTGAGCAAAGCTTCAAAATGGGTGGACTATAATAATTTAGTTCAAATTTATTTTTTGCGAGAATCAAATCTACCTCTCAATGTTAAAAGGAATAAAAATGTGTGCTAAAATTACTTCTCATATGATTCATTTAAATATTCCCATTTTGGAAAGGAGATTGTTATTAATAAAAAAGTTATCATCCACTTCTTCCCTCCTCGTTTGTATGAAGTTCGTCATATGTATTTCGGAGTAATAATACCAACTAACACACCCCGACCCGGAATGTCCACTAGGACCCCGAATCGAGCTGTGCTGGCTGACACCTGGAAGGTGACGAAGCCATAAAGTGTGATAGTGTATAAAATGTGAATAAATTAAAACCTAAAAGTGCTTAAGTACACAAGTGCGCAATGAGCGGGTCTGGACCCATTTCACGCGTGATACAGAGCATAGGTATAGTACAGTAAGGTAAGATAATGATTATACCATCATAAAAAGACATTTGTACTGAAAAGTGTCATGAATCCTCGTCGATACGGAACTCTACTGCTAGAACCCAGAAGGGTGCAAAAATAGAAAATGTGAGTGAGTGAAACAAAACTTTTCAAATCAATTTCAATTACCAAAGGCAGTAACCCCTCGCCGTAACACCTGTATAATTTCCCAGAAAATAACAGGCGTTGTGACATCCCACATTGCCCAGGGGAGTGATCCTTATATGTATATTCCCATCCCTACCTAGCACGAGGCCTTTTGGGAGCTCACTGGCTTCGGGTTCCATGGGAACTCCGAAGTTAAGCGAGTAGTGCGCAAGAGCATTCCCAGGATGGGTGACCCATCAGGAAGTTCTTGTGTGAATTCCCAAAAACAAAACCGTGAGGGTGTGGTCGGGGCCCAAAGCGGACAATATCGTGCTATGGTAGTGGAGCGGGCTCGGGAAGTGGTCCCCCCCCGGGGCCGGGATGTGACAAATTTGGTATCAGAGCCTAACCCTGGTCGCGAGTGTGCCGACAAGGACGTCGGGCCCCTAAGGGGGGTGGATTGTGACATCCCACATCGCCCAGGGGAGTGATCCTTATATGTATATTCCCATCCCTACCTAGCACGAGGCCTTTTGGGAGCTCACTGGCTTCGGGTTCCATGGGAACTCCGAAGTTAAGCGAGTAGCGCGCGAGAGCATTCCCAGGATGGGTGACCCATCAGGAAGTTCTCGTGTGAGTTCCCAAAAACAAAACCGTGAGGGCATGGTTGGGGCCCAAAGCGGACAATATCGTGCTACGGTGGTGGAGCGGGCCCGAGAAGTGGTCCCCCCCCCCGGGACCGGGATGTGACAAGCGTGACTATAACTCAAAACCATAACCAAAATAACAGTCTCACAGCTATGCAGTGTCAAATATCTCAACAAGAATAAGTAACCCAGGTGAAATAAATCAATATGAAATGGTATGTCAGCCGAATCCACCTATTATGGCTTGTACGACTAAACCAATAGCTCATCAACATGGTAACCACCTATTGTGGCCTGTATGGCTGAACCAATAGCTCATCAACATGCTAGCCAATAGCTCATCAACATGCTAGCCAACAGCTCAATAATATGCTAGCCAATAGCTCATCAACATGCTAGCCAATAGCTCATCAACATGCTAGCCAATAGCTTAATAACATGCTAGCCAACCATCAACATGTTAGCCAATAGCTCAATAACATGCTAGTCAATAACTCATCAATATGCTAGCCAATAGCTCATTAACATGCTAGCTAATAGCTCATCAACATGCTAGCTGGAGTCATCTCACGAGACCTGTACGGCTAAATCAATAGCTCATCAACATGCTAGCCAATAGCTCATCAACATGCTAGCCGGAGTCACCTCACGTGACCTATACGGCTGAATCAATAGCTCATCAACATGCTAGCTAATAGCTTATAAACATGCTAGCCAATAGTTCATCAACATGTTAGCCAATAACTCAATAACATGCTAGCCAATAGCTCAATAAGTACACCTGCACACGAGTCGGAACAACTTAAAGTGGTATATACGACAGGACTGGGTGTAAATAAATACGCTCAAGTGCTACGATCACATGAAGACTGTGCGAATACTCGCCGGTCACCTACAAGTCGGAACCACCTATTGTGGTCTGTACGATAAGACTGTGCACCTACCTTGAATCCAAGGTGAACATATGGTGCGGAAGGTGAATATCACGTGAAGGACTATGCCTTGGTCACGGGCGGGAGCACTAACATCAGGGTGCAGGTTTATGAGCTTTAACTGCATCTAATATAACATGTACGACTCATGGGCAACCTATACGACAAGGTCGGAGTTGCCTATTATTGCAACATGTACAA